CTAGGGCAGGCCGAGTGGCCACCAGGGTGTTTGGACCGAGTGAACTGCCACCACTGGGCATCCACCTACCATCTCCTCCTGGACCCCCCAGGCCCTCCCCCTCAGGACCTCCAGGAACCCTCGAGGCTGGCCAGAGCAATGGGGAAAGGCCAGGAGGGGCCCTGGGACGTGGGGTGAGGAGTCACCAGGTCTGGGAAGGTGAGGGGGCCCCGCCCTCGCTGCCCCACCCCCACCAGTAGGACCTTAGCTTGCCCACCCCGGCTCCAGGCCAGGGAGCTCCGTGCCCCTTCGACTTGGCGGCATACCTGCCCCGCCTGCCAGCTGAACCCCGACCTCCTCCTGCTCCCCCAGCTGCTGCCTTCACTTTCCTCCTATCTGTGGAGCCTGCGCCTCTCCTGGTTAGGGATCCCCCAGGCTTGGGGTGCAGCTGTCCTTGTCTGCCCTCCCCCCCACAGGTTACAGAGCCTTGCAGGGTGTTCTTTGGAACCTGAGGCGTGGGGGTGCTCAGGGATGACTGAGCAAGGGGAGGGCAGAGGGGCTTCCTGGGGAGACAGTGGCCCCAAGAGAAGGGGAGACCCTGCGGAACTTTTCGCCAAAATGCGGCTTGCAGAGCCCCGCCCCAGCTGCAGGGGGCGCCCTCCCCCCTTTCCTGCGCCTGGGCCCAGACTGGCTGGAGGTCTGGTTTGCTCCGTAGCAGAGTGGGTCGCCCATGGCTCCTGCTCGGTGGCCGGGCCGCTCCCCCGTGCACCTCGGTCACACACTCATGTCCGTGCGACACGGGATCCCTGTTCTGAACCGTGACCGTGTCTGACCTGCTCAGTTTCATGGTCAAAGTGTCAGATCTGGGGGGCGGGGCTGGCCCACATGCGCCCTCGTGCTCGGCACCTCCTGTGTCCCTGCCCCCACCGCCCCCCCACACCACCCCTGCCCCTGGAACCGGCCAGGCTCCAAGGAGCCCAGTCCTCCACGGAGGCATTCGCACAGTTTGGGGTGCTAGGGGAGCTCGTTGCTGCTGGGTGTCCTGTTCCCTGGCTTTCGGAGGGCACAGCTGCCTGCTGACCCCTGTGTAACCCTCAGGGCCCCTTGGGCCGTGGCTCCTCCTGGCTCGGCCTGCCCGTGCGTGCGGACCCCCATCTCGGCTGCCAGCCCCTGAGAGACGATGGCTGGGCTCTGACCCTGTACTGGGCCACCCCCTCCACCCACCCCCAAGGGCTGTGGCACCCAGGTTTTCAAAATTCTGGGGGTGGCGCAAACACATGGGCAGTGTCTTCAGAGTGTGACAGGCCCCGGTCCTTCCTAAACGGGGGGTATGCCTGACCCCCCCCCCATGCTTGGTCCTCACATCTTGGGGAGCCAGCAGCCTTGGGGTTCTGGGCCGTGCTGAGAAGCAGGCTGCTCTGAGGGGCGGTGTGTGCCCGCCGCCCACACGCACACTCCCCGTCTTTACCCACAGAGGAGGAGGCCGTGCTGACCTTCAACCTGCAGCGC